CATCCCCCTGCTATCATGTGTGTTGGCAGCTAACAGCTTCTGGCTATCCCCTTCTCTGAGGAATGGGCACTGAGTAATTGACCTCTCTGCCCAGGGGAGAGGCAGACCTCAACCACTGTCTGACTGATGTGGTGCAGAAATGTCTCCTGCTTGTCTGTAGACAAGACAAGGCTGTGGTGCCATCCAAATTCCAGAGCCCCATGAGATCAGACCGGGGCTGGGCTCCAGCTGAGGGCACACCCTGCTCAGCTCCCTCCTCTACCCTGTCCTGCTCCCCACTCCCTTACAGGTTTCTCCTGAGAGCCCTCTCTCAACAAGTCATATTATAATAACCACCATTTCAGAATCTGCATCTAGGGAACTTGACCTAAGACAATTTGGACTGAAAATAGGCACTCGTTTGCTGAAATAGTTCTGCAAAATATGAGAGTTCTTTCTGTACTAGTTCCTGTCTTCCAATCTTGAATCAGATGTCATGCGGCTCATATCCCCTATCCCCATCTCACACATACTCCTCTGATTTACTCTTTTCTTGGTGAAGTCATATCCAAAAAAGACATCTTAATCTTTTCTTTCATCGGTGTGGATATTAAGGCAAGACATTTTCAGGCTCTGGTTTCCCTGAATCTTTTTCTAAGATGTTTCCTTGTGTTTTGAGTCTTTCCTTAGATGCCTTGTCCTCTCAGTAATTGCAGGGGACAGGAAGAAATATGGGGTATGGGAGGATTAATCCTGATTCTCTATCCCACTGTCTCTGCCCACCTTATCAATATCATATCTACAATCTCAGAAGAAGGGTCTCAGAACAGTTTTGAAATCAGTCATGGTCTAGCCTAATCGAACCATGAGCAAACATACCCTTCACTCAACTGTCTAAATGTATTTGTGAACAGTGTCCATATCTTTGCTTCTGGTTTAAATACAACATTTACTTACTAGTCAATAGCTTTATACTGATTATCCCTTTTGCATAGAGCTCAAGAGATGGCAGGTCAGTTCTCTCACACAAAGAAACCAGGCCCCCGACCAGCACAGCAGCATCCCCAGGGCTGGCCCTGCTTTTTCAGTTTGCTACCAGGTAATCTGTCAGTAAGCTCCTGGCTCCTCTTTCTGGTCCATTATTACCTGAAGACAAATCTCCAGTGGAAAATAAACCAGCACAGGGAAAACAGTTCAAGACATTTCCATAATTCTATCTGTTGATCACTTTAAGGGTCAAAACTATGATTAAAAAATTTTTAATGGTTATTTTAATGGTTATTAGATATCAATGATCTTAGTACTTTCCAATAGAAATTAAAATGCAAGCTGCTTTGTCATTTAAAGATGTCTAGTAGTCACTTTAAAATAAGGAAAAAGAAACAGAGGAAATTAATTTTAATGATAGTTTGTCTAACCCAATATATTCAAAATATTACCATTTCAACATGAAATCAACATTAAAAATTGAGATACTTTACATTCTTATTTTGCATTACGTCTTCAAAAAGCTCATGTCTGTTTTATATTTACAGCATGCCTCAATCAGACCAGCCACCTTCCGGTGGCTGCTGTACTGGCCGGCGTGCTGCAGGTTTTCTCATTCTTAGATGCCTGCTCAGTATTAGCCTCTCCCCTCATGGGATAAACCATGTGAAGCCCTTTGGGAAAGCATCAGGTAGAAGGCATTTTTATTTCCTATATTCAATGATTTCAGCCCCCTCTATAAGAATCTCTAGAAGTATCACCTTTGAGGAGCTGGAGGTAGAGGAACCCAGGAGTCTGGGGGATGTTTCTTACTCGCTGTGGGCAGAGGACATCTAGATGCCGCTGAACACATGCTAAGGCTCCTCTGCAACCTGCTAAACCCCAGGCTGAAATGCGGAGTTTGTGCCAGGTTTCCCTTTATCTCACCTTCTTGCAGAGCAAGCAGGCTTCTAGAAACTGAAATAAGGCAGGCTGGATGAGGCCTCAACCTTGAGGAGAACGCTGAATGAGGAAGGCACTGGGAGGCTAAGGGTCCAAAGAGACTCCATAGAGGATAGAAGACCATGAACTTCAGGACCAGCCACTCCGGTTCCTAGCTCTACCACATATGGTTGTTTACCTCCCTGAGCTTGGTCTCCTCATCTATGAAGTGGGGGTAAGGACACCACCACCAACTCCTTGGAGTTGTTTGGGATAAGATGATAAATGCTGAGGGCCTTGCATGAAGGAAAGTGACCATTCGTAGCTTGCTGCCATCTGAAGAAGCTGTATAACCCTCTGCAGGGTCTCCATTCTCTGCCAAGCCATGCCACTCACTTACTAACCCTTCTACTCCCTGGGGAGACATTGTCAACCCCCCACCCAAATCTCCTCAGCCTACCACCAGGTCATCTCAGGTAGCCTTGTAAGGCCAGTGGCTTCCTGCATCTCGGGTCTGCGGATGTTCCCCAGGAAATATGAGAGGTCTGCAAGGGGAATGGGATTGGAGGACTGTCTGGGTGGGTCCCAGGATGGACTCTCAAGCAAGAAGACATGGGAGTTGATAGATCAGTGCCCTAGCTTCCTCACCCCTGGAGAAATTCTGGGGTATATTCTATATATTTTGTCAAAAGGACCCTAGTGGGATTGAGCCCCAGTTGCCCACAGTGGTAACCCGCTCATTAACTCACTCTTACTGGCGATCTTCTCCTCTATCTATCTCTTCTCCCTACCCCTCACTGAGCCTCCCGAGATCATCTCCCAAATAAACTGCTTACAGTCAGCTAACTCAGATTCAGAGTTCTTTACTATACCATTGACTCGACTTGCAAACTCTTCCCTGAGAAGCGGTCACTCTCTAACATTTTCTCGTTAATTCTCTATCAACAGAGAATTAACTCAGGCACTGATGAGGCCACTCTATCAGCTCAGTGCTTATTCCAGCTGAAGGTACCAACAGCCAGCAATGTTCCCGGAGCCCCTTCACTTTGTTTTAAATGCCAGGATGGAGGATGTGACCATAGAGCCTACCAGGCAAGGAGTAGAAAAAATAGGCTATGCCCTCAAGAAATCCTAAGATAGAGATGAAAAGCTCAGAAATGCTCCAGGGCAAACAATGACAAATGACTGTATGAGTGGTCCCCAATTTACTCCAGCCCTTGGGTCAGCTGTCTATGAGCCTAAGTTTACAGTCACTTGATGGGTCCATTGATAGTCTTAGGCTCCTCCACCACCACAGAGGACTCTCTACCACCTATAGGACCCACCACCAACTGTAGGACCCTCCCCCTACCCCATAGGACCCACCTCCAACCTGACATACCCTAAGCATTCTCCCTACTTCAACCTAAGGTGCCAGCCTGGCCACACAGAGTTCAAACTTTTACTGATTCATTGGTGCTAGGGTCTAAAAAAGAAGTCTTAAAGCCAGACCCCAAAGAATACACACTGTAGGATTCTATTTCTATCACATTAAAAAACAGGCAATGGTAATTCATGCTGTTAGAAGTTACAATAAATAGCGGTGCCTCTTTTAAGGAAAGAGATGGTGATTTGGAGGGGGCACAAGAGAGTGGGCAGTGACTTCTGGTGTCTGGAAATATTCCATTCCTTGGTCTGGTTGCTAGTTCTATAGGTATGTTCACTTTGTAAAAATTCCTAAATTTGTTAAATTATGCATGTATGATTTGTGTACTTCTCTGGATGTCTGTTATAGCTGAATGAAGAATACCCTCCAGAAAAAAGTATTTGAAAAGGAAAAAATAAAAAAGAAATTTTTAGTATGCCAGCCCACCCTCTAAGGTGGAGGACACTCTCCCCAGGCCAAGGAGGCAGCTATGGCCAGTACTCTAAGAACAAAGAAGCGTAAGGGCTATAAAAGAAATCTGAATTAGAGGGTCTGAGAAGGGTCCTGTGGGGGAGTTGAGGGACTGGAAACCCTATCTGGACGGAGGAATAGACATTTCCCTATTCCTACCAAAAATGCCAGGGGAAACCCTAAACTCTGAAAAGGCTTCAGGGTTCAAGGGTACTAGGTACAGTAAATTCTA